CAAACGATGGAGCATCCTACTTATGATTTTACACATATTGCTGTGTTGTTCCAACACTGAGGAGAATGCAAGGTTTTTTATGTAAATCGTTACTCTTGAAATTGTCACTCAAATGCTATATCAACCGTCAACCCACTATCACTCGCATAAGCAGACTCACGATCGCTGGATAACGCAAAAGCCAGGTTTTCGTCACACAAATCTAAGGAGAGCTACCTTCTCAACTGTGCCTGATTTTTCTTTGCCATCGATCATGCGCTGAGCATCCCTAGCGTGGGGAGGGAGATGACGTGATAGAGGAGATAACTAGGTAGGGAGGAGGGATGGTTATGCCGTGCTAGGGTTTCAACTCCGACGATTATATTCAGGCAGCAAGTCCTGACTATGACATAGCATATGGCCAGGATTTAGGGACAACGTTTTCTATTGAATCTTCTTTATATGTATGGGAGGATTTTACGTGCTCTTCCTCTTTTCTTCGTTGTAGGGAGAATGTCTTTGGTTTTAATTCTTGCCATAGGTCGATGACATCACACTAATACAACAACGGTGCTGCCATTTTAAAGTGGTATTTTTTCTGCTCTTAAATTCATTTTATAATCTAGACTTCTCAAGCAACCTATGAATAAAAATTCCTTTTTTCATATTTAATTTTACTCTTTTGTGATGTTTGAATATGATTTATATACATGATTTGATAACGTTCAAGTAAAAATGTAGATCTTAGGTGCAAATATTTCTGTCATTCATTGAATGCATCTGATTTTTGAATATATTAAATGCCTAAAGTTTGAAAATATCATAGTAGATAAGTCTTAGAATTGTTATACTCCGTAAATATTCAGCTTTAAGTTGCTGTGAAAAGCCCTATGATCCTTAAGCTCAAAATATATGATATCAATAGGCTTCAAGCTTTTTTCTTTTTTTCTTTTTGAAATACTAAAACGATACTACTGACAAGTACTATAATTCGGTGTTCTTTCCCAGATCGATGTAGCCTTTATGGGGGTGACATGAAAAGGAGAAAAATGGGCAATCATTTATTCATCATCATCATCATCAAAACAACAACGAGTCATTCTCACGTTCTTTAGAAAGCTTTACTGATAAATGTTTTACGAAGAGCCTATTCGATCCACCCCAAAGAAAAAGGACACATAAAGAGGTACCTTGCCATTCATTTTGTAAGGCATAATCAATATTCTTCTTAAGCTGTTGTTCCTGCCACCATTAGTGACAAAAGAATATGTTGGTGTCATGATAGGGATAATTCTACAAATCTAAAACCTGTTGAGTTGTATGATTTATTTTTAATAGTATTTTATGATGTTATGTATACTGATAAAACACTAAACACAACCACAAGTGGGAATCATATTGAACAATACACGTTTGTGGCTTGAGAGTTGAGGACTAACGAACTCTTTTATTAGTGAAAAGTTGTTCAAAATTTGAGAGAGATAAAAAGGAGAGAGTAATTGGTTTCATCACACCTATCTCTCTTGCCTTTTCTTTCCGGAATCCACTTCTGTAAGTGTAATTCGTTTCATCACACCTGTCTCTCTTGCCTTTTCTCTCCAGCTTCCACTTTTGTGAGTATAATTTTCTGCAATAATTGCTTGGGTTAAGACTTTAGACTATTATATTGTATAGTGATGTGTACTATACTCTCTAAACATTTTATCTTTCAATGTAGGATCATAAGGTGTCTATTACCTGAAACGTGAAGCCAGTATATGTATCATTTGAAAAAAGAATAATGCAGACAGACGACACAAAGGGTTGGAGCTATTGTACATATCCACCACATGTATTTTTCACTTTGTTGTTTGAAATGATTTCTTTGACTTCATATCAGTATTTACTTTTCTAATTGGAAAAAGCAAGTCTTGGTACAGATTCAGTATCCATTGTTGACGCCTCTTTTGTTATTGATCTTAGGCATCGATTAAGTACTCTAAAGCTACTGGTGCTAACCCACTCAGAACCAGCAAGCTGCCCATATTTATTACACTACGTATTAATTAAGTATCGAAATGTTAAGACTAAACTTTAATCCACCCAATAGTACATTTTTATTGTCTTAGGCATTGATCGGGCTATCTTTTTCGAACATGGAGAGCCAAGGGACTGCGATTATATTTCGCACAGGCAAGTATCTTCACCGTGATCATAGAACAATAGCGATATGATTTTTTGTTAAACATGATATATTTAAGGTTTTTGAAATTATCTTTTTGTTGTTTGGTTTTGATAATTGAGTTATTTTGAAGGTTTGCTCTTAAACATCAAATCATCTTCATATTGATACATTTGAGTGGAATGTAAATCTTCTTCACTTATATGAGATATTTTTTGCAGGTTTGCTTGGATAAATCAATAAAAAGTTTCATTTGAACTACAATTGTGATCTTCACTTGCTTCTTTGTTCGAATTTCCAACAATTTTATACAAGTACTATGGTTGTTTCCTGCTGAAGAGTCTTTCGAGGTAGAAACACTCATATAGAGTTTGAGCATATTGGCAATCCTAGCAAAATCTTAGAACAAGTGATTGCTGAACAAAAGACTATATGCATTCACCTAAGGTTATTGTCAACGATACTTTTGAATTGAAATTGGATGTAAAAGATGCTTTATTTGGCCTTAATCTCTCATGATGCTCTTGACCGTTCCTAGATTTATTTTGGGTTTGTTTTGTCGGGATACAATACAATGCTATATTGTCACTTTAATTTTTGTATCAAGTTTTGAAGATGAATTTTTGCTATATTGGAAGTAATATACATTTTTTCTTGGTTTATATTATACGGAGTAAATTCATATATTTGGTAGGTTTATAAATTGAACCAGATTGCTACCATAACTTTTGAGGATTATATATTTAAATATATATCACTCTTAATCAATTACAAAAAAGTGGCAGACGAATATCAAGGTATAGATAGTATTGACGTTTTAATTACCGAAAAACACACTTATTATCTTCTATTTTACAAATAATCATTATTAATATAGTATTAAAACCTTCTTATTTTTTTTAGGAAACATTTTTTTACCGTGCAACGCACAGGTAAAATCTAGTGTTTACAATGCCAATACACCTATTTAGGAGATAAAAACATACAGAGTAAAAGATCTTATTTTGATATAAATTTTGTATTTTCTTGATACATAAATGTGAAAAAGACAACAAAAGCGAAACAAATACAGTAAAAGAGTGGTATATACCATGAAAACTAATAATATTGGATTTACTAAACAAATGAGAGATGACATGTTGGGAAATAAAATACGTGTTGTCAATTAATTAATTTTTTATTCATGATTTTTATGTTTCATAACATTATTCTTGTCATGCAACGCACGAGTATAATTATAATACGGAGTATCTAAAAAAGAAAAATATAGACTGAAATCTATTTTAATTTTGAACAAATAATTCACTAAACACACACTATAAAAAATAAACAAAAAGATTTACTATTTAAATGAACATTCCAAAATATGATTCTCTAATGGATTTTTTAAAGTCATAACTTCTACATCTGACATTTTTAAGATAAAATTTACTAATTGGATATAATGAATTTTTTGTCAAAAGCCTCAAATTAGAACACACATATCCATAATCCTTCTTTATCACACTTTAAAAGTGGAAGTAAATTGTAAAAAGAATACAAATAAAATGAAAAATTGATTTGTTTAGGTATTTTTTTAGGGAAAAAATACTTGTAGAAAGACCAATAAAAATTGTAAACTCTTTACATACATAAATATATTCTATACCCACAATTTTGTGAATAACCGCAAAGAGTACAAGTTTGAAGTTTTAATGTTTCACATTCAAAATAAATTAAAATTTTGAAGTATGTTTTTTATATTTTCTTGTAACAATAGGGAATGAGATCAACATTGTGGAGTATTACTGTACTAAAGTATGAGAATAGAGGTTTTAGTAGATTGGTGGTTGTCGTTTGATTTTCTAACTCCACTAAACTTTGAATTCTTTCATAGAAGAATCAAACTAAACAAATTTAAATAACACATGCATTTGGGTAGTTTGATGGTCAAATTGAAAGAATTTTAATAATTATTTAATATTTCTTTAAACTCAAAGTCTAATTAAAAATACGTATTAATACAAAAAATACTACCTCAAAAAATACAATAAAATATTTTACATTCAAAATGTTTTTTTAGAGTACTTGAGGGTAAAATTGAGCATAAAAAAACAAACATAGAAGGGGTTCAGAATTCGGAGTCGAACCATGGATCTCTGCTCTAATACTATGTTTGGTTCAATGAATTTGAAAGGAAAAGAGAAGAAAATGGTTTCTCTCATTTTTCTCACCAAAATGGGAGGAATTTGAATTTCCCTCATCTTAATAGATTTTGTCTTCTCATTTCCTTTTCCATCCACTTTTTTTTCTTTTCCTCTCTATCCAAACAAGAAAAATTGTTTTCCTTCTCAATTTCTTTTCTTTTCCATTTCAAATTCCTTGAACCAAACATAGTGTAAGTGTTTGGTCGCGCTACCACTACACCATTTGGGGAATTGTTTTCATAAAGGCTTTGTTTGTTTATATACTTAAACTATCAGGGTACCTAGTATACATATAAGATCCTACGTAGAGGTCCGTGGGGTCCCGGGACCCCGTGGGACTCAACGTGGGTTCGCCTCTGACTAAACACATTAACTTTTTGCGGGTTCGATTGAGGTAGGTATCAAAATCCTTGGAAGAGTTAATACATCAGAAATGATATAAGAATTACTCCCTCCATTCCTAAAAGATTGTTACAGTTTAACTTTTTTGGTCAAACTGTGGCATCCTTTGACCACGAATTAAATATAACTTAAAATAATTAAATATTATAAAAATTTAATATTTCAAAACTATATTTTAAAATATATCTAATTTTACTAAATTTACATTATAACTAAATATACTTTTTCCATAATTTGTGGTCAAAGAATGCTACAATTTGACTAAAAAGTCAAACTGTGGCAATCTTTTATGGACGGAGGGAGTAGTATCTTTTGCCCTCACCAAAATGACCCTAAATATATATCTATTTTGTCACACTAACTTTAGAACATGAACATATTGTACCCATATTCAGAGGAAAAATAAAATAAAATCATGTAATTCTCTTTTAATATGTAAAATATGAATAAACTAGAAATAACTATATAAAGCACCATTTCATTTTCTTCTTTTTCTTCTATATCATATCTATAGAAATGACTTGAATTGAGCATAACTACATTTAGCATCTTGTGTCAAATTCTGAATATCAGTGAACATTTTCACAGAAGAATCTGCAAATTTGCTCAGCTGCCCCAGTAAAACAGTCAAGCTCGCGTGGAAACGGTCAAAGCTCGGGCTGCTGCCACGTGGATCACCACGTCCCTCACGCGCTCGGGCTTTCTCTGGTGGCGGCAAGAGACGGGTCAATTCAGAAGTCAATACTTCGACGGTGTCGGCCACGTCTTTAGCAGGCAAAGAGCCGATCGCGTCGAGCCAAACGCCGCACAGCGCGTAAACGGGGGGCCCGTATTTTCGGAGCGGGGGCGGGTTTCTCCTCCTCCGTCTCCGGGAGGAGGTCTCTTCGAGAAAGACGCACTTGACGAGCCACGCATTGATGGCTTCGACGTACGTTTTCTGGGCAGCGATCCAATCAGTGAAGATAGGTGATAGGGATCGGAGCTCGTTTTGGAGGCGCGTAACCGACTCCCACCGCGAATCCGGCGAGTTCGTGGAGGCAGTGATGTTTCCCGGCAGTGGGTATGAGACGGAGATGATTTGGTGCTGACGTTTGTGGGAATCGAGCATTACTTCCCACATTCTTCTTAATCTGTTGAGCATTAGACTGAGGTTAGTGAGTGTTTAATAGAATACTTGTAAATAATCTGGAGATCCAAAATTTGAAATGAAAACCATTCACATAATAAAACATGAAAAATAGCAGAAAAAGTAATCAATTTCATCTCAAAAACCATTCACATAATTGACATGAAAAGGTTACTACAATGTGTGTCCAAATTTTGAAGAGCATCTGAGCAAACAACAAAAACATTACCATGTGCCTTAAACGCTCCTGCGCATTGTAGGGTACCTGACCCTGACATAGAGCGGGTATTTCTCGGTGACCCATAATAAGCATCAAAAGTTGTGTTAACTAAGTGTTACGGAGTACTTCACTATTAATAGTTTAATAAGACATTTTGTTTTATTCCATCATACCTTTGGATCAAGTCCTCTAGGTGAGGTTGAAGTTCATTGTCCCTTAGGTCCTCGATCTTCCTCGATATTGAATTTATTCTGTCAATGGCAACACCAATGCTGGAGTGCAGGTCCTTCACCACCGCACGCACATTATCGATCCTTCCGGAACTTTCCTCTTTGAACTCCATTTGTCTAAGAACCTTGCACCTTTCATCGTATATACGTCTCACCATAGCGCAACCCTGCAACCAAAAGAATTTTTATCTTTACAATCAAAGTTGATTTATATCATATTTGGCAACACATAAACAGCTCAATGAACCAACTCAACCAAAAGCTCAAACCAGTGATTGTAGTAGGCTCAGGAAATATTTAATATATAATACATTAACTCGTTTCCTCACGTGTAAGCGAGATTTATTTTTACTCGAACCTTGAAAATTGAGTGGTGATGAGCTTCAAATCCGTGACATCTCAATGACCAAAGCTCTGATACCAAGTCAAGGACCCAACTCAATCAAAAGCGCAAGCTTGTTTTTGTAGGTTCAGGGAAAGTTTTATACATGAGGGTCTTCTTTGTAATATTTTACTTCTAGTCCTAAGGCCATGTTCTCTTCACCTGATCTGATTGGTTCTGATCTGATTTGGTCTGATCTGAATGTAGTTATATTTAAAACTATTTTTGATCTGATCTGATTCCAACAAGAATAAGTAATAAGTAAAAAAAATGTTGAGGAGAACATGGCCTAAGTTGCCTAAGATTAGTCCTTATATATACTCCCTTGTATTCTCCCTATTCACTTGATGAGTATAAAAATCATACATTATTCAATCAATAATCAAACACATGCCTTAACTTCATCATAAAGTTTCTTTTCCCAAGCATACAATTGATCCAAGATGGAAGCATGACTGCCCAAATTCGTACAGAAGTTACCGGCTACATGATCGGATGAATCTTCTGCATCAGTTGAATTCACATTATGCTGGCTCCTTGATGATGAAGAAGGCGACAATGAGGTGTCGTGCCATGTCAGATATTTAACAGAAGTTTGAGGAGTTTCTGCAAAAAAAAAAAAAGAAAGAAAGAGAAAACAGGTAAAGTATGCAGAAGTTGGAATGCTCCCTTCACTCTGAAATTTACAATGTATCACACCTATAATTCTCACATACCCCAGTGGATTAAAGTTCATCAAATACATATGGATCTCTATACAGAGAACGAATCAATGGTGACTTTGAATTTCATGTACTCCCTCAGTCCGAAAAAACATTTCCACTTTCAATTTTCATTCGTCCCAAAGTACAGACTCACTTTGAATTAAACTCTCCCTTTTACTTCTAGTAAAGATTAACCTACCTATCACATCATATCTATAAACTATTAATCTACTCATCATATCATATCCTATCCTACTATAAAGTTAGGGCAAAATTGGAAAGTAACCCCAATATTACACATTTCTTAAATCTCACCTTTCACAAAAGTGGAAAAGTTTTATGGGAAGTAGGGAGTGTATCATAATGGTATGTTAAAAACCACTTAAAATTTCTATATGCTTTTGCGAATAGTAAAATGAAGTTCTTTTTTGGCCAGAGGGAGTACTTAACATGTGAGAAAACAATAAACAAATAATACCTTCTTCGGAGGGGAAAATTAGATCAAACTGGAAATCATTTGCTTCCAATGTCTCAGACAATTCTCTTCCTGAATCTGAGGCTTGAATGAAGAGGAGTTCGATTTCTTTCACAGAAGAGAAGAAGTCCTTCATAACAACCTTATTTTTTACATTGCTTACCGGTTTCACCCTGCTAATGACTCTTGGCGAAGGGCGCCTCAGCGGGGGTAGATTTGTCAAACTGCTCTCCCCATTCATAAATTCATCCTCTGGTTCCAGAGCCCCCAGGGAAGATGGATTTTCTTCAGCCTTCTGAAATGGACTTTCTGCTTCAACAAACTCTCTTAAATGAATTCCTATGGCTTTCAGCGCCTCAACATAAGCGATTTGGTTGGCTGCAAAGGCGCTCCGGGCATCAAGTGCTTGTCTAACAAGATTCATCCGTTCATAACAAAGTTGCAAGGCTTTATCTTCTTCAGGTTTTGAATTTGCGCCCCCCATTAAACAACCTCACAGACTCAACCAAGAAAGATTTTCCAAGTGACATATATAAGCACTCCTGAAGAAATTAAAAGGTATACACACATATATGTCAATGATGTAGTTCAAAATTTAATAGAGGGTGAAAGTTGAAACAAATATACTAATATAGCAGAAGCGAAAGGCAACACTGCATTTTGTAGAATTATGATATTCCAAACCCAAAACCAATTGGCGATAGGAAGAGTGACCTATATTCTTATATATTAGTCTTTTTGGCATGATTGTTCAATGTGGCTCTATATCCTCAACATTCCTCAAGTGCAACTTGGGTCTTTTTGCCTCAACTTGCCACTTGCTCAAATAGAATTGGGCTTGTTTTTGAGCTCCTGAGACTACATTCTGATACCATGTAGGAATGTGATATATCAACCCAAAACCAATTAGCAATGTGAGGAGTCATTTTCTAATATATTAGTCTGTTTTGGTCTAGGTATTTGGTGTGGGATTATATACTCCACACATTCTGTTTGTTAGCATTGAAATACAATGGTAATCTTACTATTTCCCTACATTTAGTGAAGGAAAGGTAATTACAATAGTTTTGAGATTTCATTTCATGCCTCTAACCACTTTCATGTGTCGCAAAGAAAACCTTAAAAGAACAGTTTTGTATCCTTGCCGCGCCCATGTCCTAACCTTTATGTCCCCGTGTATACAAAGTTTGATCATCAGACTAATTGCTTGTATAGCAGCAATGTGCATCTAAGTGAATGAAAAAAATCACTCTTTAGGACAATTAGGCTGTGTTTTGCATGCCAAAATGGGCTACAACAACATTACCCCAGTGCCTCAAAGGCTCCCGCCCATTGCGGGGTAAGGGGGGGGGTCGGATGTACGAGTTATGACCCTATGTTTAAAACATAGAGCGGCTGTTTTCGGATGACCCATGATGAGTGTCGAAAGTTGCATTGACTAACTGCTACTCCGATAAGCGCGGACAGTTTAAAGCTTCTTTTTGCTTTATCTCATCATACCCAAAGCCAAAAAAAAACAATGAATCTTTGGCTCCATCGGAGATTATGGAAATTCATGCCAAAATGGGTTAATGGACCTAAAATTTCTTACCATAGAAGCATAACAACAACAAACCTGGTAAAATCCCACAATAGTAAGGTAAGGAGATATTTACCCAGACCTTATCCTTATTTAAAAGTAGAGAGGCTATTCATTTCTAAGAGACCCCGACTCAAACACAGAAGCAATCACAAAAAGTAAATGCAAAGTAAATACAGTAGCACAGATCGAGTAAGACGGCCCATATATTTAGGAGATCAGTTCAGAACTAAATCACCCGAAGAGAATTACAAAGTCTGATCAACATGATCAGAAAATGCAGAAGAAAGTACCCAGAGATAGAAAACCATAAAACCATTCTTTGAAACAACTAAGCCTATGAACTCAGGTATCAATAGAATTATTATGAACATCCACACCAACTGTACCTCTTTAAACTAAAAAGATCATATGAAAGACAAAACCCACTAAATCCATTATATTTTCACCCAGGAGCCAAATGATCGAACAGAAAGTGAGCAATAACACACAAGCAAGGAAATTGCCCAAATAAAATAAGGCAAATAGTCCAAAATCCGATCTTTTTCTCTTAAAACACAACTTATCAACATAAGAAACCAAAACAATTCGACTCAAATCCAACACAAGATGCAAACTTTAGGCAAACCAACACGCCAGAGCATATCATTGAACACGAAAAAGATGAAATTACAGTGGGTTTTAGTAGCAATACCTGATCGGGTCAAGAAAAGTGGAAACTTTAGCTCTTTATATGCAGATCCTCTATAGTTTTGGGCTTTATTTGTATCTATACATCTGTGTTTATTGGGAGATGGGTAAGAAGAAGAAGTTTAGAGAGGAATCGGCGACAATGAAGTATACTCCGTAATAGTCCATGCAGAACAATATATGAATTTAAAAATAAAAAGGTAAAGAAGCAAAGAGAAATTCAAAGTTCTCCCGTTTCTTCTTGCCAAAAATCAAAAGTGAAACTGTTGAAGAATTGCTGAGAGAAGGAAGACGCGGCGGCGGGTCCCACTAGAATCCGATTCTGTGGCAAAATTAGGAGTGAAATTGTTAATTTAATTACTATTTGTGAACTTTAATAAAAAAATAAAGTAATCTAAACAATTTTCAAATGAGAGTTTAAAATATACTCGTAAATGATAAGTTTGTAAAATAATATAGTCTTACCACGGTTTGTTTAATAGATCTTTTGATGTACTAGTTTTTAAATATGTAATTTTTTTTTTAAATTTTACATTATTTTTCATATAAAATAATTTAGAAATAATTACAGTCAAACGTCGTAAATCGTAACAGGCTATTTAAACTGGGACGGAAGGAGTAATTTAAATATTTTATAATGTTATGATATTTATTTATTTATTTATTTATTTATTTATTTATTTATTTCATTTCTATTATTTTTCTTATGTGTAAGTCCCATACATTATTATATGAATCTAATATCTATGACAGAAACATTCAAAGAAATGCACAAATTATTTGACTTATACAGCATTGCAGTTTTCTCAAATGATTCAATATTTTACACAATATTATTGGCATTGAGTGTTAGTATCAAAAAAATTAAACATTGTAAAAATATGGTAGTAACCTTCTCTCTTCTTTTTTTTTATACTGAGTCCTTATTTTATAAACTAATTTTAGAAGGAGAGAAAGGAATAAGTGAGTTTGAAAGATTTTTCATTATACTTCGGGTCTGTTTGAAAATAACGCTAGAGATTAGCAATAGCATTTTGGATGAAAAATCAACGGCGCAGATTACTTTGTAAAGGTATTGCTAAACACTGCCCGTAGATAACATTTTCAAACTGCTAACGCTAATCTCTAACGCTATTTCTAAACAGGGCCTTCATAATCAATCCATCTATAGTTGAGAATATATGATTACTATAAGTAGTTTTTGGGTACAATGGAAATAAAAAAACCACAAATGAACTACCAATATAAAACTCGAATATTAATTTAAATTACTGCATTTTTTATCAATAATTAAATAGTGCATAATTGTCTGCATCATCTTCAAATTTTTTTTTACTTTTTAATTTTTTTTAATTGTGTTGATCCATTTCGTACGGAGTATTTAATTAAAAAAGTTACACTTGACTACTAATCTATTCCGCATGAATAGACATTTAAATGAATTTTTTTAATACTATTGATTCTAATAAAAGATAGTCTCTCTTTATTTCATTTTCAATCTAATGACGCACAAAAAGTCAATACTTCGTAAAAACTTTTTAGCTCTATTATTTTATTAAATCTATAACAACAAAAAAATAAATTGATCAATAAATAGTAGAGAATGACAAGGGAGATGATTCCATAATCCTAAGTCTTTAGAAGAAAAATAAAAAGAAATGTCAAATAAAGAAAAAGGAAAAGGAAAAAAGAAGCTAAAAAATAAAGTTTGGTTATTAATTACGGAGCTCTTTTCACACATAACAGCGGCATCGCTACGCCTGTGCCATTTTTTCAAATGAAATGATTGTTTTCTAAAAGGGTATAAATATGGAAATTATATTGACGTCCAAAATATTCGGGTCCAAAGAAACGTTTGACATTAAAAAAAGTTTAAAATGACATTTATGCATTCTATCCAATGTTATTTGTAAAATCTCTATGATTTTTAAATAGTGCACGCATGCCCCTCTAATCTAGTTTCATACTTAAAATGACATTTATGCCATATCATGATGTTTCACTTTTTTATTTTTTTATTTTCCTTGTTCTTACAAATAATTAAAATAACATATACGCTCTTCATCTTAAATTAAAAAACTTTAATATTTTTTTAAAAAACACAGAATAATTTTGGTTCTACAAATATATAAATGAAGTTTTTTAGTTTGAGATGGAGTGTATTTGTCATTTTATTTATTTGTATAGCCAAGGAAATTAAAAGTGAAAATAAAAGAGTGAAACTTTATTAGGTAGAGAAAGAATGACATAAATGTCATTTTTAGTTTGAAAATAAGTTAGGAGAGCGTGTGCGCAATATTTGAAAAATGACAAATTCAATGATGGATCTAAGGTTCACCATGGATCTACATATAAAGCAAATAAGCAAATTCTAATTACCTTGATGAACGTTTATTTTAATTAAAAATTAAATAATACTGTATAAAAATTATGTGAGAGTTGCACAAAAACGATATGCACCTAAAGTGCACCATAGAAGCACTCTTGATAAACATAGGGGTTCTAAAAATAGTTCTTTTAAACTGAGAAGCTTTTGATTCCCTTTTTGTAAACCACTTGAAGTACCCATGCAATTTGCCCTAAACTATCCAACTTTATTTTCTCCGTTACTATTTACATGATAAAATTAAATGGAATATCTTATTTTAAATACATGTACATATTTTTATTAATCATTTGTTAAAATAAAACAATAATTTTACATTTTATTTTGTAAAACTTTTGATATAATTTTTAATTTTTTTTCTTTTTTATGGAAAAAAATTAAAAAAAAAAAAGCTTATCTCCATAGTAAGCAAATGTTATCTGGCTTATATAAAAATCCATAATAACACTAAAGTGTAGATCAAAATCATACAAAGTGTGTAACAGAAAAGATTGGAACTTTTACACACTGTATTAGGCATAAAATTAAATTGAAGAAAATTGCAATCGTTTCATCCCAAACTAAAACCACGAAAGAGTGTCTTTTATTGAAAAAGAACTAGTAAAAAACCTAGGAGAACCTCACATTTGACACCACATTTGATATTATAGTGTCACACACACACACAAAGAGAATAATTATCTATGCGGGAACTATGCGTCTGATGTGTGTGTCACACTATGATGTGAAAGGTGGTGTCAAATGTAGGGTTACAATAGCTTTAGCTTTTCCCAATAACTAAATATGAATGATTAAACACATGTATATGATCCCAACTATGCTTTCATATCTTAACTTTTGACATCATTTATAGCCAAGTTGTGGCCCTTGTAAAAAAAAATACAGACTATTTGTACTTCAAAGAAACCTTCAACACAATGATCTTTCTTAGCTTGTTGTGATAACAATTGTTTGCAGGATTCAACACGTATTGAACCCACTGCGATTAGAAGTGCACGCACGCTATAGAAGATGCAGCGAGTGCAATCCCACAGTTTATAACTTGCTCCCCAAAGCTCTAGGGGTGAGTAGGTGGGTGGGTGTATCTGGTTTGGGGCTTTGGGAGTGCTCTAATTGGTTTTTGTGTCCTTTAGTGTATGACATAGTAAAAGAAAAGACAAAAGGGTGAGGGTGAGGGTGAGGGTAGGGTCCTCCCCCCCCCCCCTAGCAGAGTTGAACAAATAGCCAGAAATTTTAAATTTGAACTTACCATTTCTTTTGGATGAGAAGCACCAGAAACAACTCACAGAACTAGCAAGCAAAACTATAAAACAATTAATTTTCTGTGCAGGTTGTCTGCAACAGAGGCCGCTTCTACACTGTGGTCGTGATCGTGAAAGAGGAGAGTTAAAATCCCAACCAAACATAGAACTGAACCTACGAGGAGCTTGTCGTAGCGCTCCACCCAGTGAAACTTGAGCTGACTCGCACCGTAAAACGAGAGAGCAACTAGCGAGGTCATCACTGTTATAGTGCTGGACAACAAAATAGCCTCACTAGCTTCAGAATTTCTCGGGTTATATGTCCAAGTGAGCATATACGGTAGTGGTAATTTTCATTTTTTCATGTGTCGTAAATAAGCCACACCAAAAAATGGCCAATTACCCAGAAATAACCCCGAACTTCTCAAACGTCATATTTACCCCCCACAAAAGAAAAGCTTAAACAGTTCAATTATGACTTTGAACTTGCAAAAACATGTCCGGATTATTGAGTTCAGACATGCCACAAACAAAAAACATGGTTCATGAAAAAAGCTACATAAGCAAATGATAAGATCAGTTACCACAAGTAAAACGCATTATAAATTCGACCTAAATGACATCAAAAGTTTGAATATGTAATATGTGTGTGTTTTGCACTTGCAAGTTGCAACTCATTTTATTATAATTTAAAGTTTTTTTACCACATAAAACTGTTAAGATTTAAAGGGTCTTCATATGCCACATGCCAAAAGTCGAACAAGACCTTTTTGCAAGTTCAGGCCTTTGATGAGTTATATCAGTTAGTAAGGGGTTAAATAGAACATCTCAAAAGCACAGGGTCGAACAGGGTTTTAGATGAAAGTTCAGGGCCATTTCTGGTGTATTTGACCCAAGAAAAAATAGATTCAGCCTTAGGGTAGGGCAGACATACCTGAGTAGAAGGACAATAATGGCAAGCAACAACATGGTTGATGAATTTCCAACAGCAAGAAAAACTGGCAGAGTGGTCGCGCAGGGAGACAAGGCGGGAACAAGAACAAGCCCAGCAACAGCCATTTTTTCCATGGGTTGGTTGTGTGAATGGCTGTGAACTCCCCCCTTTCCAGTTAAAAACAAGATTGCATAACTTCCACCAAGAACTATGAGCAACAAAGAAGCAAGTTTATGCACAGTTTCCTCTCCGGCAATTGTGTTTGATATGGTGATGGCTGTTACTCCTAGAAGTGATGTTGATAAAACATGCAAAACCGCACCAAGTGCAGCTGTAGGAGAGACAAATTTTGCATCTCATTACAACGAATAATAAGAAAGAAATATTCGACGGATAGAACAACAAATCCCGTAGAATCCCACAAAAGTAGGGTTTGGGTAAGGTGTGTGTACACAGACCTTACCCCTACTGTGAATTAAAGAGGCTGTTTCTAAGAGACCCCAACAATTCATAAGATACTAATAAATTTATTTCGCAAAACTCTTGTTAAGGTTTGAATTCCCTCTGCATTTAAGGTGGGTGAACCAGGCTTTGGTTCAAAGAACTTAGCATAAAGAACAGAAAAATTAAGAAAAAGCAGATTATAAATAATTGATAATCTGCACCACCACACATTTCTTAAAGTGTGTGAGGTATGAAATGCCAGGGAAAGAAAACTGTAGTGGAAATTTTGATGTGGGAAAAAGAGAGAAAATGGGGGGGGCGTCAGTTTAAGCAATAATTCTATTTGAAACATTTACTATACAAACTCATTTTAGTTATATATGTGTATTCTATAAATGCGTAGGGTTTCAATAACTTGTAATCCAATTTCATTTTCTTTCACAAGGAATATTTTCTAAGGTAAAACCACAACTAGGAAACTAATTCAACTAACATCCCCCCAACCCAACTCATTTCCTTGTACATCATGATATATTCTCAATAAGCTAAAAGTGGTAGGTTATGGTTGGTAGATCTTATTTTAAGGTTTTCGCTTAAATTGGATTTAGTAAATAATCGGTACAAAGTAGGTGAAAACAAGCTCTCATTTTGAAATGCCCTTTGTTCGTACTTTGTAATAAAGAAAAATAAAATATGAGCTTTATTTGCTAATAACCCATTTATTTAATAAAATAACATCCCATACCCATCCCTCCTAAAAAATATAATCCTTTTTTTGCATTGCAGAGGAGCACCAAACACCTAAATTCACTCATAAAACATTTGATCGATCCCTTAAAACCTGAGGTCACACACCCACATACCCACATATACATGTAAGTGAAAATGGTGAATTAACACATTTGATTAACAGAAGAATGAAAGAAAGACAGCTGAATGTTGTCTAGCACCAAAAAAACCAAATGTGAAAGCAAAATACTGTAAATATGCCCATAACTAGCAAAAAATCAAGACCAAAAATACACTTCCAAAACCTGGGCAACTAACCCCAAAAAGATGTTGAGAAAACCACCAAAATACAACAGACGCGATATGGGAGGAAAAATAAAGAGAAAAAAATAGAGAACATAATTTTTAAATGGAAATCCCTCTCAGCTCGTGAAAAAAATACCGCAAGAATACAACAATTGATATTGTTGATACTCTGAGAATTTTCTCAACATCTTGAAAATTCTCACCTCACTACAACTCTCCAACATCCTCTTGGACCTCTCTCAAAGAGACCCTTTCTCTCTTTTTCTTCTTTTCACCACCACAAATATTGCATATCTCTTTTCTTTTCACGACCACACTCATCACATTTTCTTTTTTTTCTCCTCGCTGATTTGTTTAATTTTCTCGCACTTAAAATAAATAAAATCCAACATAATTAGTATTTAGTAATTGGGGTACCCAACCAAAAGAGAAATGTTTGGTTCACAAACACAATGGTCACACACTTCACAAATTTATTATTTGTGAACTTCAATAAAAAATTAAGTAGTCTAAAATAATTTTGAAATGAGAATTTAAACCATAAATAGTAAGTTTGTAAGTTTGTGATCATTATGTTTGTGAACCTAGCATTGCTCCAACCAAAACCCCAAATCTCCCCTAATTTGGGCAACATATCATCTTTCACTCACAATTGAAAAGTCTAACCTAATCTATACTATTCAAATAAACTCAAAATTTAGCAACACAAAGGAAAAATGAAAGTAAATCACACATTTTCCACTCCACATCACAGCAAGCAACTCGAAACAGATCTCAAAGTACAGAAAGAAATGCAAAATTGAATGAAATGCGCAATAGGAGCGGGGAGAGGAATACTGACTGACGATGAGAGTACGGGAAAGAGTCCATTTCTGGGCGCGTCCGACGATGGAGAAGGGCAGCCAATGCGTCGGAATGAAGGAATGCAGCAACGACACCGTCGCGATACCGCCGATGGTCGACAGATCTTCGGCGGTGAATCCTCCACCGCGCTCCATTTCTATGCTTTATTATTGTTTATTCAAGTTTTTTATTTAGCTGATTTGATTGAGATGTGAGAGCTAGAAGAAGCTAGGTTGAAGACGAATTGCAGGTAGTTGTGAATGAAAAGAGCAATGCGAAAGTCCCCCTCCAATTTACTTTTCCAGTTTTCCATTTCAATACTTCCTACTTCCCAAATTATTTGTCACACTTGTATTCCCGAGGCAAAATATCATGTTTTTTCAACTCATTTTATTTACAAATAGGTATAAAAATAGAAAATAAAATTTACATATCAAAAAACTACATGAAAAGTTCTTCGAAATAAGAGGTGTCAAGAATATTTTATTTTATCAAATAACCAATGAAATTGTAGAAATAAACAAAAGTTCTCGCGACGCTGAAAAAGCAAACATTGTAAATATTTAGGGACGGAGGGAGTAATTAAAGCTACTTATCCATTACTTAACATTAATTAATTAGAGTAATGTTAGAGTCGCGAACAAATACTGCACAAAATTCATAAATTTGTTTTTTAATATTTCACTAGAAATAAAATGTATTTAAATAAAAATATATATTCTAATTTAAAATCCATAAAAGGCAAGTATATGACTTTAGCATTTTCATTTTATAAATAACAGCATATTAGTACTTTGATGGCACTTACATAAAACATTAGTCCAATCACAAAATAACTAATGTAAATTATCAAAATGCTAGTACAAAATTATAGTGTACAAACTGTACATAATAATATACTCCGTATATCGAATGGTATACACCAGGCATGTTCCTTTCCAATTTAACAAAAAATGCAGTGCAAAAAAAAATACAAATATAAGTAAAAAAGAGTTCATATTAAATATAGACCTTAATAAAAACAAGTTCCTATACAATCAAGTTACTTGTAAAGAATTAAATGAAATATTTCTAGAAAGAATTCAAAAAATCATTAACAGGTGACACATGTTTTATTTAAAAAATCTCAAGTTCTTTATTTTCAGGACAGTAATAGAAACCTTTAAATTTTGTTGTAAAACTGGGTAGAAACATTTCATCCAATACTTTATCTATAGGCGCTAATAAATACTCCGTATATTTATTCTATTTTGTCAATAATGTTTCATGGTTAAAATTCTAATGTCTCTCTTTTTTGTTTCTTTTTTTTTCTCTCTTCTTTTAGAACATTTTTAAAAAATTTCATCTTGAAGAATGTATGAAAGAATTGTTTATACATTAAAAAATAAATGCAATAAGAAAAACTCCTGAAAAAAATACAAAGTAAAATAAATGAAAAAAAACAGAAAAATAAAGCAAATTTTTCCCCTAGGATTTTTTAATACTTACGGAGTATTAAAAATGAAAAAGATATTTCACTTTCTTTTTGAAAAGGTTCTTATTTCATTTATTTTTTATAGAGAAAATCATATAAATAATTTGCACGAAAGCCTAAACACATACTTGGTCCGTCCCTGAGTATTTGTCCACTTTTGACTTTTGGAACTATTCATCTAAGCAATTTGACTCATCAAATTCTCTCAATGTGTAAGCCTAAAAATAATCATGTGTGATCTTGTTTGATTCGTCTTAACATATAGATTATTAATATATAATTTTTATAATTTTTTAATATACAAATTACAAAATAAAATGGATTAAAAAAGTGCATTGGATGGTGTGCAAAAATAAAAGTGGACAAACACTCAAGAACGGAGGGAGTAATTAATAGATCAAAATTATTTATATATAAAAATATATTTTTTGGTCCAATTGATCCGAAGTATTTCAGTTTGTACCAATCCGAATCCGAATAGATTTAAGTACGGCCATCAGCCCATCGCTCATCATTTCATGATTTTGTTTACTTTGGTCTTCGATTCAGTCTGGTTTGATCCCGTTTGACTCGGTCTTAGGCCGATGAACAACCCTACCCGAGAGTATTTTTGGAAAGAACTAGAAGGGAAGGCGAGAGATTTACGAAAAAATGTAAATTTAGAGGAAAAGATAAACATGGAAAACATTGGAAATAGTTGATTAGAAACGACTTTACACTTCTAACTGTACCACAGATATGAACTTACATAGCACGCGTGGAGATCTTAGATTAGTTTCATTAGTCATTTCGACTGGAGTCCGAACTAATCAATAATTAATTATTTTTGTAATGAATTTTTGACATTTTATCCGTTTCGAACATCTCATGTGTGAACTTAAAGAAGGGTTTTAGCAGAGATGTTAAGGCTAGTATTGTAGAAAATACATTTTCTACACAAGAACACAAGAATAAAACTGGCCAAATAGAGTATATAAAGAATACTCAGGTACTTGTTTGGGGGTTTTGTAAGGACAAGTTTTTGTATGATGAAAATAGTTCATAAAAGTCATGTTTATGACACATAATACTACATAAAGGAAAGGCACAGTTCATCATTTCATCCAAGAGACAAAATTCATCAACCAAACATCAAAACAACTGCCAGAATCTGGATGGGGTGATGGTACATGTCAACCAACTAGCATTGAAGAACCATAATTAAAATTAAAATGACACAGTTTAGAGGGGGAAAACAACAATGACCGGAAAGCACGATCTTAACAAAATTACTGGTCACCCGGCATGCTCTTGAGAATGTCGGAATCACCTGAAAACAAACCATGGTTAGAAACATACATTACATAAAAACATTTAGTAATGTTATAGGATTGTTGTCTCTGTGTTTTACATCATATGACTCTATCCTCACGTAGGGAAAATTAAAAAGATAAGCAAAGGGGGCATTGGATTGGAGGTGATAGGGTCCTCCATTCACTTGTACTCCGTACAAAACAATTTTAAATGGGACCTTGAAATTTTCCTAACTTCCCCCCTTTTCACACCTCTTAGGGAAGATGAGAAAAATTTAGGTCTCACATTTACACTGTTTGGTTCAAGGAATTTGGTAGGAAAAAAAAAGAAAGTGATTTTCCTCATTTTCCTCACCAAAATGGGAGGAATTTAGTTTTCCTTCCTATTAGTATATTTTGCCTTCTCATTTTCTTTTCCTTCCACTTTTCATTTTTTTCCTCTCTAACCAAACAAGAAAATTCTTTTGCGTTTTTTTTCTTTCCCTCTCAAATTCCTTAAACCAAACATAGTGCTAAGGAAAATTAATTCAAGCATCATAAGCTGTCAAGCAACAAGTGAACAGAGGGAGAACCAAAAATCAACAAACAGTGAACAAGACTCATCATGAGGTTAAGTGATCGTTAACAAAACATGTATCCTCGATGAAATTTACGCAGCAGCAGAGGTATTTCTAATTGCATAATTCTGACTATTAGAAAACAGAAACTCACCAGGATCAATAATGCTCATGCAACATACTCTGTGGAATTTCCCACATGCAGTTCCCAAATCATTATTGCCTGGAGAAAAAAATCAATCAATCAATTTATTTTGGGGAGAAAACATGTACAAGAAATTAACTTGTTGATGGCAAGTTCACGGTTCCATGCACAACTTTGACATAGAGTTATGAGCCCATAGCCATCAAACAAGAGTTGTAATAAGAATCTTGAAGTGAAGATTTACGAAATCTTACTTCCACTATAGTGGTGAACACCCACTTTTGACAACATAGCATAATACTCAATCTCCGACTTCCAGAGGGGTGGGCAGTTGTTGGAAATTATAACCAACTTTCCTGTGGTAAAAAAGATAGAAAACAATCACAATTATGCTAGTCAATCATTTGCCAGTAGTTACATTTTGCATAACAAAATTCATTTCCATCACTATGGAATGCATTTGATCCTACCACATGATTGGACTACATTTGTTTTCTGAGTCCAAATTGAAAACTGAAATACAGAAGCTCTTTTTCATCATTTTTTAAGTTTTGAATTCAATTACAGAGTAAATTACAGAAGCTCTTTCTCATCATTTGAGAGTAGTATTATTGTTTTCAAAGAGTTAGAAATTTGGAAAGTACTAAAATTTAAACAAAGGTTACAACTTTGCTAGTTAAACATTCTATGAGCAGCTACATACTGAAGTTTAAAAAATCAAAAAGCAGTGAAAATGTCAAATGCAGCAAACAATGGGAATCCGAGTAATATATTGGGGACTAATTCAGATCCAAGTAAATCAACATAAGGAATTCCAAACAAAATGAAAAGAGATATGAAAAAAAAACCTTTGGAGTTTCTGAGGGACTTGAGAACGGTCTTGTACCCCAAGGTGAATTTGCCACTCTTCATGACCAGAGCCAACCTGTTGTTGATGCTCTCATGAGTCTTCTTCTGCGAAATCATTACACGGAACCGAAAACCAAATCAGCCATTTTTTAACAGAATCTGGTGTGATATGAACAACGACGAACAAAGAGATGGATTCTTACCGTCTTCTTCGCCGCCACCATTGTTACGCCTGCTCGGAAGACCGCCGGAGTCAGAAACGATTCTATTCAATTCGGCTGCGGCAGAGAGCTTTTAAGCCGATAGGGTTTTTTATGAGGAAAAGGCGAATGGGCCTGCAGTGCGGTATTTTTTTGGGCTTTTAGTTGTGAAGCCCGCATAACCATTAGAAATGGATTTGGAATAAGAGAAAAAACTTTTAAGAATATGACATTTGGATGCATTCTAGGAATGGATATGGATTTGGCCATGAATGGATTAAGGTCCAACTTTATATGAATAATTCTGTCCGAGAGTATTCGTCCAATAATTGTTGATGTAGTTCGGCATTAAATGCGAGTCAATCTCGGACCATTATCTAATGACAATACTTAGTTGGGAAAAAATCAAAGTAGTACTAAAATATTAAAAATATATTAAAATAGAACTTCCATTTTTTATTCTCGAAATATGACTTAAAATGCGTTTACATTACCCGCATGTACATTACCATAAACTATAGTAATGTGCACATGTACATGAAAAATCCTATTTTAGCACTTTTCTCTATGTTTTAGTTCTATTTATGGTGATTTCTATATTTAGTTTTAGTATTTTTAAAATCAATCTACAAATTAGAATTTTTAATTAAAATGATAAGCTTAATAAAAGACCATTTACCCGAATAACAGGGCCGGTCCCGAGGATTCATCGGCATGGGCCGAAACAGAAAAAAGACTCTAAAAATTTTATTCTTAATGTTCTAACAAATTAACACATGTAAACTAATTATATTTAAATTATAATTAACGCAGTATTATTAGAAGAAAAAAATAAATGAAAAAATTATAGTATTATAAGTACATACCGTAAAAGCTAGTCAAGGATTCGAATGAAATATATATTATTTCTAAAGACATTTTTGCGCTTCATCCATGTATGTAAATGATTTAATGCCTAGTATAACACAGGGCCGGCCCGGGGGACAAACAGTCCTACCGGCCCGGGCCCAAAAAACTAAGGGGCCCAAATATTTTTCAAATATTTTATATGTGTATGTATAAGAGGCTCAGGCCCAATCCATCTTTTCTCTTAACCCTTAGTTACGGGAGAGAGTGAGAGACGCCCGAAACGGCCCACGCCCAATCCATCTTTTCTCTTAACCCTTAGTGACGGAAACCGACGCCGCCGACGCCAGACGCACCGCCGGACGCCGACTCTCAAGCTCCAGCCTCCAGGTATTCCGTATTTCCATGATTATTTCTTAACTTTTTTCATTGTTTCATTCTTTAGATTTAAAATCTAGGGTTAATTATTAATTTCTAATTTGAAATTCTTGTTAATTGCTATGAAATAAGTGAATTAATGGTTCTATATGTTATTTATTTGATTTGGATGAATTGATTTAAATTTATTATGTATTTGTATATAAAAAACTGGAAATTAAACTGGAAATTAATCTGGGTTTTTAATGGAGTTCAATTATACAGATGTGAATTTCCATTAAAAATCTGGGTTGAACTCCATACGTCGGTGCGTCTGGCGGCGTCGACAGCGTATCTGAGTTCTGTCAGTTCCGTACTTCCGTCGTCCATGTCCTTTCGTGCGTCACTCACTCTCTCCCGTAACTAAGGGTTAAGAGAAAGATGGATTGGGCCTGGGCCTCTTATACACACACATATAAAATATTTGAAAAATATTTGGGCCCCTTAATTTTTTGGGCCCGGGCCGGTAGGACTATTTGTCCCCCAATTGGGCCGGCCCTGCCGAATAAGGCCTATGTCTGGCATGACCTAATAAAATGGGATTTGTATTCTTTTTGGGTCATCAATACATAAAAATGGAGTAAAATATGGCAAAATCCGTCTAATGTAAATTATACGAAGGAGATAAGAAACTTTACATTGTAGGACTTGATGATTTTAGATAGAAAACTCACCTAACAAACAATTTGTTTACTTTATAAATGATAGATTGAGAAAATAAATGAGAACTACTAAGATGTACCCCTTCGTCCCAAAAAGAGTTACACCTTTCAAAAAAATTGCGTCTCACAATCTCCTACTCATTTCTATTAAAAAACAACTTTTACCCATTACTTTTTCAAACCCTAACTATCACATCATACCTTTTTCTTAATAATCTACACATCACATCCTACTTTTACCCATCAAATCGAGGTTATTTTTGGAAAATCAACACAAAATTATCCATACCTTAATTTTCACTCTAGTCAAAATGTGTAAAACGTTTTGGGACATAGGAAGTATGAGTCAATTGTATAAAATGGGATTTGTATTCTTTCTTTGTATTCATTATACTCGTTGAAGTGCTTGGACGTTTTCCTCGATTTTTGCGATTGGGTGGTCAACGTAGTTCGGTGGGCAACGAGTATTTTTTCCCTTTTTCATTTGTGCCATTCAAATTTAGACCCCGTTTGGTACATAGAATTCAAACTATGGAATTGGAATTGAGGATTTCACTTCTAATTCTAGTGTTCGGTAGCACAAAAATTGTGTAGATTCGAAATTGATATTGCAAAAAATGAATTGGAATTGGCAGAATTCAATTCTATGGAATTAAATCCTAAAAAATTTCAATTCAAATTTAATTCCAATTCCGTCAATTTCATATACCAAACACATCGTTATAGTCTTAGCTTGATCGAAGATGAATAACCCAAACCAACATTGGTTGACGAACCTGTCTTAAAATGTTTCGAAGCCTATAATTTTGACATAATTAGCAAACCAACTAGTAGAACTGTAGAAGTATAGGTCCTGAGTATTTGTCAATTTTTTTAGGTTGTCAATTCTTTTTCCTTCCTCAAATTCTTGAAAGAATATTATGTTAAAATTATTTTCTTCTGTCAAAAAAAAATGTTTGTTAGGGAAAAAAAATATGGATAATTATTTTTTAAGGACAGACATTTGAGAGATACTAATTCCACTAGCAAATCATTTGATATTTTTAATAGAAGTAAAATCCTCTCAAATGCTGTCCTTACCAAATTACAACCCATTCTTTTAAATGGTGCAAGATTTTCAATCCTGCGCGGAGCTTTATTTCACTTTTATTATTTGAAAACTTTCGGTGTGGGAGAATATCAAGGGAATTATACTCTCTCCGTCTTTGAGTATTTGTAAAATTTTAATTTTTTAGTTTTATTAGAGTTATTATATCAAATATTTTCAATCATTTTATCTAATTCATATACGAATATATTTTCACGGAGAAGGGAGTCAAGGAGGTTGCTTTATTTTCAGATTGTTCGCTACTCATTCAGGCCTTAAACAGGAGGCAAGCTGATGATCGGTCGTATTTGGGAATTATTGAGAGCGAGTGTAGGCTCTTGGCCTCTTCTTTTTCACAAGTTCATTTCTGTTACTTTTCAAGGCGTTTTAATTCTATTGCGCATGTTTTGGCTAAGAAATCTGAGGACGGAGGCAACATTTGGCCTTCCGATCCGCCTGCTTATATTTCGCACTTAATTCGTTAATGGCATGTTTTTGCTTTCAAAAAAAATATACGAATATATTTTATTTAATTAAAAGTCAAAGTTGACAACGGTTGATCGAAAAAATCAAAACTAGACAAATACTTAGGGACGAAGTTAGTACAATATACTACTCCGTATAAATGATCTATAAGAAAAACAATTTCCCCCCCCCCCCCAAAGCTTTTGACTAGCACTATTTTAGTTCAAGAAATTCAACAAAAATAGTGACATCCCATGTCGAAGTTATATGTTTCAAAATTCCCATGTCAAATATATTTGTTGAATTTAGTCGATGATATCATATTTCTTCGAGATTTTATAACTCATATCTTATCATTCGAGTAATGATGCATTACACAAAGTGACATCCTATGTCGAAGTTATAGTTTTCGAAATGCTCCAAGACTCCATTAAACTATATTAAGGCCCGGCACTCCGACAAAACAAGCCCACGACTGGCGTTGCTTCTTTGAGTCTTGTGGAACAAAAATCTCAAACGCGTGGGACTCCTTCATGGCTTCCTTATGCATGATATCATCGAGCAACAAGACTTATTCATTCATCAAGATACCTTCGTGGCAATGGATAGACATATCCTATATCCTATATCCTATCATATATCCTATATCCTTTATTATAATAAAGGAGACTCGGATGCACGAGAATGCGACATTTGGCACGCCTATTTGGCAAAAAATGGAACACATCAGCAAACCACGTAATCTTTATCTTTATATCTTTATATATAATAATTGAGACTCCTCTTCATAGGAATCTGACATTTGGCATGTCCATTTGGCATCTTTTTAACATGTCAGCGCCATGTCATTATTGAGTATTATTTTAATAACTGAAAAATGGAGTAGACAAAAAATCAGATCGTATGGCTTCAAATCCTTCACTTTGGCTAAATTTTTATACTACTATAGGCTGTGTTATAAGTTTTTAAATGTCATATGAATTTATGTTGTTTCTTTAGATTTTAGGAATTAAGTTTATGGGTGTGTAGTGCGAAGAGTTCTACTAAAACATGTCTTTGTTTTAGAAATCATTCGACCAAGATATCTGCTGCAATCTTATGGAAACAGTCTGATGCTACTTCCATTCAGAAAAGGTGTTATATTGGCAATTACATGAGTGATAGTTTATTCACTTTTGCTTTTGAAGAATGTGTTTTTGTCTCATTCGTTCATATGACATTACACAGAATGGACATAAAATGTCAAATAAATAGAGTTGTTTACCATATGTTAACTTTTAATACAACTCTAGGCTCTATCCAGTGAATAAAAGTCATGTTCTTTCATCCTTTTCAATATTACAAAAGTCATATTCTTAGTCTTTCGAGTACATATTTCTGATCAACATTAAAATAAAATAATATATATACCATATTTTAAAAAAATGTTTGACATTTTATGTCAAACTCTGTTTGCTTGACATAAAATATCAAACAAACAGAGTTGTTTACCATATGTTAACTTTTTATACACCTTTAGGCTCTATCCAGTGAATAAAAGTCATGTTCTTTCATTCTTTTCAATATTACGAAAGTCATATTCTTAGTCTTTCGAGTATATATTTCTGATCAACATTAAAATCAAATAATATATATACCATTTTTAAAAAAAATTATATATTCATTACAAAAATGAAAAAAAAAATACTGTTACAGGTGATATTTATAACATGTAAACCTTTACAAAAGGAACTGTCACTTGAAAAAGAGGATTGAACTATTAATTTTTTACGGGATTTTAATAATTTATTCAATGTGATTACTAATAATTTTATTCTTTAATTATATAGGAGACTACAATTCACGCCACTACCGAATAAGTTTGGCAGGAACTTTTGAGAAAGGCATAAATGAAGGTTCAACATATGTGTTTGCTTATTTTACTGTTGTACATTATATCTCAGGATGAGAATCTTTAAAATCCAAAAGAATTTGACGATCTTCTACACGGCAAGACATATCTTTTTAAAATCAAAGTGAGGATGATGTTTTGAAGTAACCATGATCAGTCCTTTAGAGTGTTCAAGATATGTCTTTAGCTTTGGATTGCTGTGCAAAAGATGTGCCAAGACGATGTGCCAAGATGAAGAGCGTTAAAGTAGAAGAAATACAATTGCTTTTTAATGAACAATAAAAAAATTTATTATCTTCATATGTAAAATGTAAGTATAAATAATTTCTTTTAAGTTAAAGAAATAAGCTAAGGTTTTATACGAAATTTAAAATTAGATGTAAATTTTAGAAGGATTTAACAAATTCTCCATCAGAAAAATGAATACTCCACCAAAAGATTACATAAAAATATGTATTTTTTTATATAGTCATGTTATTTTACCGATCATAATGTGCATCCATAAAAATAATAAACATCATTCATTGGTTTCATAGAAATCATGGATAATTAAAATTTAAAACCATTGATTTATCTTGGTATGCATATAGCTCACTAATTTTTTATCAACCATGACCCTTTAATTTCATTTTTCTATATTTTTAGTGTAATACAAATATTTTATAGATATTGAATATTTTAATCAATTGAATGGGCGAAAATTAACAACCTTGAATAAAAATATATGCATATCTAAAAAATTTAAAAATGAAAAAATTCTAAACTTGGACAATAAATTTGGTATGAAATGGGTGAATATAAAAAAAGGTGAGTACATATTTTATGTAATATGATATGCATACGATTAAAAAAATTAGGCATTGATATAGAATAATCAATGTAAATAATTCATCTGTAATATTAAAAATTATGTGAGCAATATATTTTCTTTATTCTGAAAAATAAATTTTATAGAAATAATTCAAAATCGACATAAATTTCGTTCGACCCCGTGCACGGCACGGGTCATAATACTAGTATATAAAAAAGAAGAGTTGGAGTTCTAAAATTACGACATGTGGCATGCTAACGGGACTCTTTTTAACGCATCAATAGAAATGTCATCAAGAGCATTCACTCAAGATCCCTTCGACTAATTTATGATATAATAACATAAATTATGTAACATAATAAAACTAGTGAAACATAAATATAATATTGCATAAAATAAAATTGTTAATGGAAAAATAAAAAGTATCTTCTTTAACTAAAAAAATTTTGGCAAAATATTTACTACAATGTTTTGCTCAAATTCTAATTAAGCTTAAAAAATCAGTCAATAGAAAAAAAATGAAATTAAATAATTTTTATAGAAAAATTAAAATAACTTAAAACAAATTAAAACAAAATGAGAGCTTTTAACATTTCGTAATAATATTTTGATCTACTTATTATTATAATAACTTTATTTAATATAAAATAAATATGATATTCCTTCAAAACTTATATTGACTACTGTACTTAAAAGTAATAAAAGTTTCTCTTTATTCACAAGTCACAACATAACTTATAATGATATATAGATACTCACTTCACCTCTATATCAATCTCACATACATTTAATATAATACTCCGTATTTAAAACTAGATCAAAATATTTATTGTCGAGCTTGACAATAATTTTTAGACAAAAGAAAAAATTGAACACAAATAGATGATTAGTTAAGAAACTGACACGTGACTTACTCATGAGCCTTTTTTAACACCTAATATGTCACAAAAATTTTGATGTGGAAAATATGAAATTAAAAGTTTGGTAATTGTTTTTGACTAAATTTAAACATGGGAAAACAATCTTCATTTTTATGAAAATATCCTTTCCAAATTCTATTTTTTTCTCTTTATTTATAACAAATAAAACACTCTCCTCAGCTATATTTAATTTTTATATTTTTTTTATTTTACATGAGATTAGTTTGATTATATTTATTTAAATATTGACAACTAATAAATAAAATACTGACTTCACCTATGAAAAAAATTATATTTGTTTTAACACCTAATATGTTGACTAATTTAAAATATAGAAAATGTAAAATAAATATTTTGAGATTAAAGCTTTGAATAAGTTAAATTATCAAAAAATATTTATTCTTAAGATAATATTCTTTCCCAATTCACAAATTCTTACCCTGATCTTTTCATTTATAATAAAATTTTTAATTAAAAAATAAGATGGTTTTTTAACTCTAAATTATTGTCATACAAATATTAGTGTATGATATTAAAATGAAGTAGAGTACAATTCAACAACAAGTGTGTCGCCACGACATATTATGTTTAGACAAACATTCTTTACGATTTTAGAATTATTGAGTTAATTTAATTATGGAATAAAGGTCATCGCTTTAATTAGAATATATTTTATAATTTTATATTTTTTCAATTCATTTATAATAAAATTTTTAGTGAATAAATAACCCTTAATAAAAGATATTTTCTTAGCCTCTAAAAAATTCATATATGTTTATGACATGCTTAAATGAAGGTAGTTTTTATTATTTACAATAAAAAACCAAAAATATATATCTTAATCTTTGTATTAAAATACTAAAAATGACTAGAGTTTTTTTAAACTATCAAATATTAAAATAAATGTATGATACAGAAGGATTAATTAATAATTTATGCTCCCTCCGTCCGGAAATATTCTTCCCATTTTCCTTTTTTGTCCGTCCGGAAATAATCTTCCCATTTCCTTTTTTAGTATGCTTTTTATGGCTAAATATCAATAATACCCTTCTATTTTATCACAAATCTACTTTTTTTAATACTTTTTTAATAATAAAAGAAGATTTAAAAGTTTATAGTTTGTGTATTTTTGAAAATTTTGCATTTTTTTTACTATTCCTTAATAAGCGTGCCAAGTCAACATGGGAAGAAAATTTCCGGACGGAGGGAGTATTATTTAGTTAATTAGATATTTTAATAGTTTAGCTAGATAGTTTAATTATTTTTATTTACTTTTTATTGTTGAGTGGAATTATAACACTCCTTCGAGGGTTTCTTTTCGGTTCTTTACCTCGACGCTTTTATTGAACCGACAGGGTTAGGGATTAGGTATTTTCTAGGGTTAGTCACTGCCCTATTTTGATACGTTATCGTATCAAAATCTCGTCTCCTTCTTCCCCTCTCAAATCTCGTCTCAAATCTCGTCTCCTTCTCCTCTCAAATCTCGTCTCCTTCTTCCCCTGGTTGACTCTCTCACTTCTTCTCCCAAATTCTTCATCTCCTCCCCCAATTTCTCAATTTCTCTGCCCTATTTTGATACGTTATCGTATCAATTGGTGCTTTCATTCTTGAACTCACCCAAAAAAAAAGAGAGTAAAAGATTAGTCACTGCCATCAAACTTGCCGCCGTCGGGCTCTTTTCTCTTAGTCGTGCCACAATTCAAGGGACAGCTGCAAGGTTATTTGCTTTGTGAAGAATTTCATCAGGTTTTTTTTTCTTGCGCATAATTGCTTTGCAAAGACATTGGCAATAGAAAGAAATATTTCCAGGAGGGATCGGAAATAGCAATTGGTGATTCATTGAATATATTTATTTTCAATTTTGGATTTGGTGGGTTGCACTTGTCGGCTTCACCCTTGCTGTCACAGGCCACAATTGTTAATTTTTTTTATTGATTCATATGGCTGGGAAGTCGTCGGCGGCACCATCACAGCCCGCTGCCTCGTCCCTAAATGATGTTTGGTTAGCTGTTAAGGATCTCGCCCTTGAGATGCACGCACTCCGCCAGGAACAAATTGCTCTGTCACGACGAGTTGATGATGCATTCTCTCTTTTGGAAACTGGGGAGACCCTAATTGATTACAAAAGTGGGTTATTTTGTAATAGCCTTTTTAAGCCGCGGCGACCGGATCCAGATTTTCCAACATGGTTTTATAGTGTTACAGGCATTCGTCCTAATGCTTGGATGTCGAACATTGAGCAACCAAAAGAAGAACAATTGCATGAACCCGTTAAGGAAATCATTTCAGTTGTGACAGTTGAGAAAGATATTATTGCTCCTACAAGTGTTTCTAATGAGGTTCCTGTTATCATTTTTGATGATTGTGCTACGGATTTTGCGGGAAACATAAGCTTGGAAAACCTGTTTGTGTTGCCTAATGATGTTTCTCTACCAAAGGCTTTTCCATTGACTAGCATGTTTGCAGGAGTTAGGGATCATGTTTTACTTGAGGGTGCTAAGGGGCTGCATTTTGTTTCTTTCGAGGCACCTTTCCTCATCACATTGCTTGGAGTTCTTTGTTTGCCTGGACAGAATTCGGAGGCTTGGTCCGAAGGTGGCCAATTTATTTTGTTCGCTATTGCATCAACTCTTTTGAAGCTTGAATGGGATCCTCCACCAAACATGGCATGCACAAGGTCATTGCACACCGTTTGTTTTCCTACTTACACCTTGAGGACAAGGTGTGTTTCTATCGGGGCGGCAGTGATACAGAAGGATTAATTAATAATTTATATTATTTAGTTAATTAGATATTTTAATAGTTTAGCTAGATAGTTTAATTATTTTTATTTACTTTTTATTGTTGAGTGGAATTATAACACTTCTTCGAGGGTTTCTTTTGGGTTCTTTACCTCGACGCTTTTATTGAACCGACAGGGTTAGGGATTAGGTATTTGCTAGGGTTAGGGTTTACCATCTTCATCTATATATTGAGTTGTAATCCCCTTTAGAAAATGATCAATGAAGAACAATAATATTTTCACTCCTAAACCCTAATCTCTCCTCCCTTCTCCTCTCAAATCTCGTCTCCTTCTTCCCCTCATTGACTCTCTCACTTCTTCTCCCAAATTCTTCATCTCCTCCCCCAATTTCTCAATTTCTCTGCCCTATTTTGATACGTTATCGTATCAATGTATTTATAAAAAACTATAAAATGTTTTTGTTAATTTTTATTTAGAATCATAGGATTACCAATACTTTTTCATATTTATGTTTTTGAACTAATGCAAAGGGAGTATAATAATTGGATTTTCAAAGATATTTTAAATTGATTTTTTTGAATCATAGTATTGTTAATGAAAGATTTTGTTTTTTGAATAATGCAAGAAGAGAATAATCATACATAGTATTTTTTTAATCAATGTGAGTGAGGAGAATCATCTTGATGCGGGAGAGTATTTATTTCGCTAATCAAAATAATATGGAGATGCGGGATAAAAGAATCGTAGTTTTTAAATTATAAGCTCGACTTTCCACTTTTTTTTAATCTCGGGATAATCTCGTGACCCACTGTCTTCTAGGCAACTTGGCTGAAGCGCCTCTTGAGCTCCCACTGCCACAAATACCTCTGACTGGCCACCTTGAATCATTCCTCGCTCGTCCAACCTGAGTCTGACCTGTGGCTCTAGGTTTCTCTCTTGCATAGACTACCTTATTCTGCCCACGAGACTCTGTGAACCGGACTTTGTTTCTCTTCTGAACTGGGACGGTCACTCCCTCAGATGGTAACTCGACCATATACAGCGAACCTCTCTTCTTTCCACGGGCCATGACAAGATTTCCCTTCACGACCTTCCACTGCCCATTTCTGAACTTCACCTCATGTCCCTGTTCGTCCAACTGCCTGACAGAAATCAAATTTTTCTTCAAGGTTGGAACAACTCTAACATCATTCAAAGTCCAGAAACCGACTGGGGTCTTCAACACTATGTCACCCATGCCCGTCACATCAAGAGCACTGTCGTCTGCAAGTCGAACCTTTCCAAAGTCTCCAATAACCAGATTCTGCAATGCTTCACCGCTGTGGGTAGCATGAAATGAAGCACCAGAATCCATGACCCAGGAATCCACATTGCTTTCCTCACAGCAAGTCAGAGTGACCTCCTCGTCACTCGCAGAGCCTTGAGCAATGTTCACTTTCTTATCATTCGGGCATTGATTCCTAAAATGCCCCACCTCCTTGCACTTCCAGCACGTTACACCTGAGCTATCCCGAGTCTTCGACTGACTCCTTCGTCTGTTCCCGCTCCCACTACCTCTGCTATTTCTTCTGCCTCTACCAACATGAAGCAATTCACCAGATGACTCCCCCGAACTCTTTCTTCTGACATCCTCGCCAAGAACGAGATCTCGAATCTGATCAAAGGTGAATCCATCGGGTCCCACTGAACCGGTAACTGCAGTAACCGTTCCGGACCAACTATCAGGTAAAGACGATAGCAGCAGTAAAGCTTGAACTTCATCATCGAACTTAATGCCCACTGACAAAAGTCTGGCTAAGATCGAATTCAACTTATTGATATGCTCGGTAACTGAAGTGCATTCTCTCATCTTTGTGTTCACCAGCTCTCTGATCAGAAAAACTTTGTTCGCTGCAGATGGCTTCTCGTACATGTTAGACAGCGCTTCCATAATTCCCTTCACTGTCTTCTCCTTCAGAATGTTGAACGCAACATTCTTGGTCAACGAGAGACGGATCACGGACATTGCTTTCCGATCCAAAACTGCCCAATCTACATCAGACAATTTTTCTGGCTTGTCACCCAATACCACGTCCAAATCTTTCTGAACCAGCAAATCTTCAATTTGCATTTTCCACCAACTGAAATATGTACCGTCGAACTTCTCAATTCGGAACTTCCCGTCTTCTGCCATATCACACGACCAAACGAGATACCCGGTACAACTAATTTCAGGTCTTGGTAATTTCGTCAGAAAAACAGGTCCACCACTTCAATTAAAAATCAGCCCAAACCAATAAAAACACACACACGGCCCAATTTTCTCTTTCTTCGCTCCACCCAAAAAAAAACCTTTTTCCTTCGGCCTGGCGAGAAACGGAAACTACCTTGTGTCGCAGACTAGCAGGGCTAGAGAAGATTGATCGGCGGCTGCGGCAAATCTGGACGGCGGATGGCGATCTCGACGGACGGTTCCCGACAACGGCGGCGGCTCCTTCTGCCGCTGCTCCTGCGTGCGGCGGCTCCTTCGCTGCTGCGGTCCCCCCAAACCAACGACGGCGGCGGTCGGCGGGAGACCAAGGCTGCGCGACGGCGGCACCGAGGCAACCCCAAGGCTGCGGCTCTCTCCCCTGCTGCACGACTCACTCCGGCGCGGCCCTCACAGCGGCGACGGCTCTGGATCTGCTATCGATGGCTGCGGCGGTTCCTCAACGCGGCGGCGGCGGCTCTCCTTTGCTTCTGCGCGATTCTGACGCGACGGTCCTTTGCGAGCGGCTAGCAGCGGCGCTTCTGTGTTGCTCGCGATTCTCCTCTGGATCGCAGTGGCTACGCAAATAGCCTACACAGCGGCGCTCCTCAATTGAACGGCCACACACACCCGATCTGGATCCACACGGTTCTTCACACAAGAACCCTAGGTAACAATTTCTCACAATTTGCGTTCCTGTTGAACAACCCGGCTCCGATACCACTTGTTGGGAATTAAACACACAACACACACAAATAATATGTGAGAAACGAGAGAAACGGAATACGGACGACACACAAGAATTTAACGTGGTTCGGTTTCCCTAATCCACGGCTGCAACAGGAGGATTTCTATTTCACTTGTCGTGTCTCCCAGAATTACAAGTACAAGGCTCAATATATATAGGATAGGGAAAAAACCCTAGGGTTACATAACATGGGCCGGGCCAACAACACAAGCCCAAGCCTCCACAAAACCCAACAGAAAGTGGGTGGATCTTTTTTTTGCTCATCAAAGTCAGTTGTATAAAAGTTGAATTCATGAATGTGAATAAATATTTAGGAATCTTAGGCTACAAAATAATTTTAATATGAAGAAAGATGTACTCATTATGTTATTTGGGAACACTGACTTACCATTTGAATTATGTAATAGTATAAGGTTACATTGCAAAAAAATTTCTCCAGCGCAATTCTAATTTTAGGAAACAAAGTCGTAGAGAAGGTTACACAACCTAAGTGAATTATATGTTCGTTTCATATAGGATTGCCCTTGAAGTTTCAAAAAATACAATTTTTAAAAATTTATGGTTCGCTATGATTATAATTAAAAATTAAGGCCAAATATTGTCATTTATAGGATTATATTTTATCAAGTCAGCATTCGCTAATGGTTAATTTAATATTGATGTTATACAAATTAATCTCTAACAAGTGACAGTAAAAGTAGAGTTGAAAGTATTTGTTTTACATGCATTTAGTAGTCTTTATAACATGGGGGCGGTTCGGATGACATGAATCCCTCATGTCATCCTATGACATGAGCCCCGATTAGAGCATCTACGATGTTTCTTTCGAAAAATTTATGGCTCCTACCTCCTAACCTTCCCGGTAAACCCCACACCTTTGGCTCGACCCAAACACTACCCCTACACCTCTGTCAATTGCATGCCACAAGATTTAGTTGATTTTGGAGTCAAATTTTGACTCCAAAGTCAACTAAATATTGTGGTATGCAATTGAAGGGGGTGCAGGGATATGTTCAGGCCGGGCTGGGAGGGTTTACCAGTGGGGTTAGAGGGGTATAGTAGGAACCACAAATTTTTCGAACAGAACACGTATGAACCTAGGGTTATCCTATGACATTGAATCTCAATGTCATGGGAACAAAGGTATTATAAGTTATAACATTATACAAAATTATTGCATACCTCAAAAATTTCCAAATTATTTTAATTTAGCTAAAAGTTTGACATATTAATTTTCAAATGTATATAGTAAAATTATCATTAGCAAATGTTATATGTTTTATCATTATTTTAACTTTTATGTTCAATCTTTTATTTTGTTGGATTTTTGAAAAATGTTGCTGTAAAGAAAAATTAATTATTTGTTTCAAAAAAATAATTTAATCCCATGCATAGCACGGGTCAAAATACTAGTATATATGTAAAGCAAGGTTTATTTCTTGGAGTGTTGACATGTGGCATGCCACATGTGCATTCATTAATGAGATGGATAATTTCATTAGTCCATTTAATTATTTAAAAAAATCTTTTAACACATCTTATTGGATTACATTCAATAAATATTATATTTTAGTATTAAAAATATTACTATAATTATACTTTGTATAAAAAATGTCATTTTTTTTACAATTTTATAAACATATATCATCATTGTAAAATATATTTCGTATTATATATTTTATATTTTTTATTATAATGTTTTATTAATGAAAAGTATTTTCATTAGTACTTCATTGAATAATGACCATTAGTTTTGAATATAATTTTTGTTTTTAAATAAACATACCAATATATATTCCACCAGTTTAAAACATACTTTATTTAATATATTAAATAATATCTTTAAAAAAATTTAACTTTATGAATGTTTTGAAAAATAAAGTTTTAATTTATATTATTTTTAAAAATAATAAATCATTTCTCTTTTAGTACTTTTAAAGGAAATATTTATAGATTCTTTAGTGCATTTACATTTATATTTAGATTATATTATTTGAAAAAAAATATATCTTAGAGTTAAATAAAATATTCATCTAACACATATTATGTCACTATTAGAAAACTAAAATAAATAAAATTATAATTATAGAATGTAAAAAATGTAGAATACACACAAGCCCGTGCGAAGCACGGGATTAACACTAGTTGTAGCGTATTAGCTTCAGCAATATGATGATAGACTAGATGCTACAACTCTACATTAAATAATGCCAACCAGAGTTATAAAAACTCTACCAACACAATAGAGATGGATGACAACACGTGAAATTAACAATCTCTTCTTTTGACAATTTTTTGACAACAAATACTCAGGTCGTTTTGAACCTTTTCTTTCCTTTTTTTGCATAAAAATGCCAAAGTCTTTGTAATACTCCGTGTTAACATGCAACTAAAAAGAGTTCTAAAAGATTGATTGTACTATTTTTCCCAATAAAATATATTGATATGATAATAGATTAGTTATATTATTTATTAATTGGTAGTTATTTAATATTCAATAGTTAATGTTGTTGACGGTTTTAGTATGGGCCCGAGCCCATTAGGTCAAATACCGTTAGCATTAGGGTTTCTCTATCTCCTATAAATAGCGATGTAATCCTTTTATTCAATCAATCAATAATAAAGAATTCTCTTAATCTCTTGTCTCTCTGTTCTTGGAGCCCGGAAACGCTCGAAGTTTTCCTTCTCTCTTAGCCTCCCCTTTCTTGGAGCCCGAAGACGCTCGAAGTTCTTCCCTATCCCGGTACGAATCGTACAAGATTCGTATCATATATTTTTTTCGAAAGCTCATCACTAATACGGAGTAAACTCTAAAATTAAGTGTGCTTGAGTGGAGGCTCAAAATGTTCAAGAAAGACTGGAAGGGGAGTATCACGAAACATTCCCGATGATAAGCCGCCAACCATGGGTAACCCGGAGGGTGTGTAAAGTGGCCAACCGCACATGGCCCCTAAAATTTTAGGGTCTCATATTTTTAAATTTATCATTAATTTTGAAGCATAAATATTCTAAAATAATAAAATAGGGCCCAAAATGTAAATTTCAAACCGAGCCAATTTAATTTTTTTCATTTATCGAGGCCGGCCCTGCCGCCAGCAATGGAGGCTAATGGAAAACCCGCCAATCCCCTGCGACAACTTTTCTTTTTTTCTTTTTGCTAGATTTTGATGGGTACAGATTAGGTTCCGTTTGGTTACTCTACTTGGATTAACTCTGTTTAGGGCTTAAAATTTAGGTATTTTGCGTTGAAATTAGAAATGAAGTTGATAAGACATGTGTTTGGAGAGCAAACAAAATACTACGTATGAGTTTTGATATCTTCGGGTATCAGAATCCTTGTTTGGTGTTTGGTTAAACTAAAAAAGATATTCATTTGATATCTCCAGGTAACATAAATCCTTAAAATAAAGAATTTTGATATCTTCTGAATTTAGGAGATACCAATATGGGGGTTTGATAAATTTGTAAAGTAATATTTTCAGAGTAGTTATAATCAAAGTACTCCCTAATTATTCTTCTTAAACTGAGTTGTACTATTGTAAATTTACTTAAATAGAACTAAAACACAATGACTTTCTCAATATAGTACCATAATGTAGGACTATTGGTCATTATCTATTAGTCATTATTCAACTAAATATCCATCATCACTTGGACATTATTCTTCTCACTAGTCATTATTAAGTTCTATTTAGAGAATAAAAAAGTTTAAATTCTATACTGGAAAATGACTTATGTTTTAGTCCTATTCAGTGCAAATTTCACAAACTGTCAAAATCGGGGAAGATATTAATAATAATAATAAATTGTGCAAATACTCCCTCCGTCCGGAAATATTCTTCCCACTTTCCTTTTTGGTCCGTCCGGAAATATTCTTCCCTTTTTCCTTTTTAGTAAACTTTTCAAGGATAAATTTCAATAATACCCTTCTATTTTATCACTAATATACTTTTTTAGTGTTTTTTTAATAAAAAAAGAAGATTTAAAAGTTTATAGAATGTGCATTTTTGAAAATTTTACATTTTTTTACTATTTCTTAATAAGCGTGCCAAGTCAACACGGGAAGAATATTTACGGACGGAGGGAGTAACAAACCTTTCATGTTTTGATAGTTTTTATCAAATAGTGAAATTTTTTGACTTAAAATTAAACATAATATAAATAAATGATATAAAATTTGATATATCAAATCTAATCCTAAAATGAACTCAATTATATTAAATTTCTATTATAATTAGAATACTTTTCAATTCTAACAATGTATGATCAAAGAGTGTCACTATTTGAATAAAAAAGTCAAAACAGAATAGATTTTTTATGAAAAATTTGAAGTGGCGTGATTAATGTTTATGAGGGGAAAAATACTACTCCCTGTTACACGTGTAGTCACAATCTAAATATTCAATAATTTTTGGCATTAAAGTAAAATGTACGAAATATCAAAATCCCAAAAAATTTTTAAAAAAATTATGTGATTGATTTACGATAAAAAAGATAACTAATTAATTTATTCGGGACAAACATTTGAGAGATTATTACTCATACAACAAATATATAGTTGATATTCATAGTATGATAATATTCTCTCAAATGATTGTCCTAATCAAATTACTATTTATATTTTTAAATTATACGTAGTAATTGATACATATTCTTCATTCATGTGCGGAGCTTTATTCACCTTCCGTATTTGCGAACCTCCGGTGTGGGAATAATAAAGATACTACTCCTTATAAAATACTCCGTACAAACAGTCAAACACCATATTTTTGTGGAAAAAATGTCGTTCTTTCAAAAATAATCACGAATTTTATTGTGATACATAATTATCTTATCCAAGTGTGTGAAATTGAGGTTATTGTTAAGCTGTTAATGGAAAATTAACAGGAATGACATGTTTTGTGCAATAACATAAAATGTTAGATCGCTTCTTCTTTTTTTGAAATTTTATCTTAAATATTTTTTATTAATTTCTCCCTCCACCATTTCTTTTTTTATGATTAGTCTTACTTCTGAAACAAAAACAATGACTAAAAATTGAATATTTTACTAAATGTGGGACTATTATGCATTGTAGTGAAATGTGACAGGGATAATTATTTCTGAAAGATCAAGTAAAAGTGAGATTATTATGGACAATTTTTTCTATTTTCGTCTAAAGCTTCAGGCTAACACTATGTTTGGTTCAAAAAAATTAAATAAGAAAAAAAAAAAGAAATGGGACGCAAAACATTTTTTATTTGATTATAAAAGAAAAGAAAACGGGCATGGCTTATCAGCCGAAAATAGAGGGACTAAGAACTGGTACTTAAGAATTGCTCAGTACTCCATTGACATGCATTGACTTAGTCCTTAGATGAGGATGACTTTTAGGAAATCTTGAGCATGAGGAGTCTGAAGACATTCAAACACTACTTTTTGGGAAGAGGATAAATCAAATTACTTCCCTTCCAAACTCTAAGTGATTCTACTAAATAAGGCACTCGCTAAAGCATCATTGGCTCTAAAGGAAGGAGGGGGGTGTCCATACTAGAGAAACCACTAAGATCAAAATCTCAAAAGGACCTATCTAAGAAATCCTACACACACCCATAATTAAAAACTAACCCGACAATATCAAAATTCTAAAGAATGTGGTACCGCAAACTTCAAGATTTCGCCCTCGAGGCCACCAAAGCACACGGATGAACATCTTCGACCGAACATAAACTCAAACCCCCGAAACGGGTCGAAAGGCATGCCAACTTCCATTCAAGATCCTCGAAAAATGGACCCTCGCAAATCACATTATTCTTGATCTCTCTCTGAAGACCTCCGTTAAAAATAGAAACAACTTTCCCAACATTCATAGGCTGACATGTGCAATATCTCATGTTTTTTTAAAAATAAATTTTATTTTCAAATTAGTTCTCTCAGTATAAATAAAAAAAGGAAAAATTGATATAAATACTCCCAGAAATTTGAAATTTTATAATAATACTCCCAAATTTAATAAAAGACTCTAGTGCTCCCAATTAAACTATAAGTTTACATTACTACTCCCACTATGCCTAATCAGTTTTTCTTATGCTTACATGTAAGTAATTATGCTTAGTTGACATCTTAGTTGTTTTTTTTTGTTTTAATAAGAGGAAAACATTATATAAATACTCCCTGAAATTCAAAATTTTACAATAATACTCTCAAAACCAAATAAAGACTCCAGTACTCTAAAAAATATCTTCCATTTACGTGGTACGATGTTTAATAAAAGTGGTGTGAAATCAAAAAATAAAATTATATATTTAAAAACATCATAAGATCTATAAAACTAGTAATGATATAATTATATTATTTTATCAAATACATAATTAAAATAGGTAAGCAAAGTAAATAAAATTTGATCCTTTTAATACTCTTAATAGTGAATGAGAAGATAATTTTTGGACGGAGGAGATATTTTTTATTAAAATATAAAAAACTAACTAAGATGCCAATTAAGCTCAATTAAATAATCTTTAATATTACTAAAAAAAATTATTTTTACATATTACTATATTAGTTTTTTAATATGTAATTTTTATTTTTTAATTTCACACCATTTTTTATACTCGTATTAAATACTTTAAAAATAATTTCAGTCAAATATAGTAACGTGCAACGAGAATATACTTTTGGGAGAACTGGAGTCTTTATTTGATTTTGGGAGAATTATTGTAAAATTTTGAATTTCTATGAGTATTTATATAATTTTTTCCTCTTATTAAAATAAAAAAAAAACAATGTCAACTAAGCAAACCCGTGATAAGCCTCCGTCTATTATTGGGTGCACAATCGGTAAGCAAGCGCGCGGTTTGAGCAGTAGACCACACTCATCATCACCAAGGAATACTCTGCAACAATGGAGGCTAACGGAAACCCGGCCAATCCCCAGCGGTAACTTTTCTTTTTTCTTTGTTGCAGATCTTGTTGGGCACAGATTAGGCTCCGTTTGGTTACTCTGTTTAGGGCTTTAAAATTCAGGCATTTTGCGTTGAAATTTGAAATGAAGTTGACAAGACATGATTTTAGGGTTTATGGATTGAAATCAAGTGCTGGTCTTCTTACCTTTGCCAATGTAGTTTTTCGTCGCGATTTTTCGGCTAAAACATTTGAAGAAATATTATGACGTTTGGCAAAATGTTCCTTTTCATGATTTCAAGAAACTAAAAATTTTGATTTTGATCCCCTAGGCACACCGTCAACTTTTCGGCCAACTTTTTGAACCCATCAAAAACTCACAAAATTTTGCAATAGTATCCTTTCTTACATGTAGAAACATTGCTTAAACTTTGATCGTATATTACGGAAAAAATACACTATATATCCGAATACTACCTCAAACACGGACATGGATGAATTCTCTTTATCCAAAATCAGAGTTTTCTTACATATTTATTGAGGTGATCATTTAATTGAGTGACTTTTTAACACTTTAACTCTTCCAACATTCTCCAACTCCTTCCAGTTTCTTCCAACATCCAACTCTGAAATTCCAAACCAAATGTGAACAGGGTCTTATTTTATATGCCTAACCTCATTCAACCGGAGTCAAATGATTGGCTATGGTTCATCCCAATCCTCTCCATTTGTAAGGCGTGTGGAGGCTTTGCAGGTATGCAGTAGTAACCGGAGCAAACAGGGGAATTGGATTGGACATTGCCCGACAGCTGGCAGCCTCGGGCATTACGGTTGTGTTAACAGCCAGGAACAAGCAGAGGGGGAGTGAGGCTGTGGGATTGCTGCACAATGAAGGCTTGTCAAATGTTGTCTTCCACCAGCTTGATGTTATGGACTTGCAAAGCATAGAAGGCTTGGCAAACTTCCTAAAAACACATTATGGAAGGCTTGACATTTTGGTATGAACAAACTCTTGTTTACCATCTTGAATTTCATTGCTTTTTTACTCCCTTAACATGTCCGGATTTAGCTGTCAACTTTCTCCTTTTTTCGCACCGTGGTTAATTAGTTGTCCACTTTACCATTTTTAACTAAAGAAATTATAGAAACTAATCAAAATTATCCTTTAAACGCGCGTTAGCATTGTTCTCATTAATGAAACACAAGGTATTTTTTGTTAGATTTAATCGGGTTTGTTCACATATTACCGAATGGGTAATGAGTCGATGTTTGGGTCAGTTAGTATAGAGTCAATTAGTGTGGTGTCGTTTAGTGTGTTTTACATATTTAATTAATTTAAATAAAAAACAATAGGGCAATTTCTAAAAGGCAATTATGGGTAGTTTCTATTGTTAATAGGTGTGTTGGTTTGTAATAGTTGTGTTGGTTAGTAAAAGTCATGTTGGTCTGTTCTCTATATATATTTAGTGAACACAAATATTCCTGTACAGTTTTTACATCAATAAAAATTCTATTCTGCATACCAATCTGTTCTTCCTATCAGTTTTCTACAATTTTAACATGTTATTTGCCATCAATAGAGACTCCATTAAGTGTTGTGTTAATTTACCATTAGTCCTGAAATTTGAGGTACATCAGCAGGTAAACATTGGGTTGCCATTTTGAAATCTCTGCAGGTAAACAACGCTGGAGCTCAAGGAGTTGTCGTTGATGAAGAAGCCTTACGGGCTATGAACATAGCCCCTTCTGATTGGGTAAGAGTGTGAGATAACTATTTCACTAATATAAATTCCCTTCATCCCAAAATGATATTCCAGGTCAGTTTATGGTGTTTGATTGAATTTGTTTTTGAGCCAATATATTTGAAAGTTGGTGTATAATTAGAAAATAAAAGTTATAAACTGTAAAACTACATGAAATGACAAAAGGTGACATCGCCATATTACTTTATCAAATGAGTGACGAAAATAGGCAAAAAAAAAAAAGATAATCCGTATCTAGTTGTTGCTAATGGACATGAGACACACAACTAGGCCACACGGCATTTGGATCAAATCACACTAGCACTATGTTTGGCTCAAGGATTTTGGAAGGAAAAGAAAAGAAAATGGTTTTCTCTCATTTTCCTCACCAAAATGGAAGGAATTTGATTTTCCCTCCACTTGGTACATTTTGCCTCCTCATTTTCTTTTCCTTCCACTTTTCCTTTCTTTTCCCCTCTAACCAAACAAGAAAAATGGTTTTCCACTTCATTTTCTTTTCTTTTCCCTTTCAAATTCCTTGAACCAAACATAGTGTAAAAGGTTGAATCTAAATGATTATCTAGTTCAACTCAAAACCTCCGGGCCAGCACGGTCTCATGAACTTGTTTTTCATATCAAAGCTTGCAGGGAAGGTTATAAATCTGATTCAGGGCGTAGTTAAGACGACGTATGAGAAAGCAAAAGAGTGCCTTGACACAAATTACTATGGTGTGAAGAAGGTAACTGAAGCACTCCTTCCCTTGCTGCAACTCTCTTCTGGAGGGGCAAGGATAGTAAATGTCTCTTCTCTAAGGAGTGAATTAAGGGTAAGTAGAGTAACACTTCCCATGACTTTTTACTTTGTTCCAAATTAAGTTATATGTTTACTATTCACAGGGTCAAACTTCATTCACTTTTTTTATACTTATTTTCGTTACTTAATAATATTGTCATGTCTCACCTCTTGTTTTGTACTTCCTTTGTCCCACTTTATATTGTCCGTCTTGACTTTGGGGCATATTTAAGGAAGAGAAAAAAAGTGTTGGCTTTTCAAAAATGCCATACTTTTTTACGGGGGTGGCGATGAATGAGAAGATTAGGTGGAGAGGAGTCGCTTATTTTAGGGGTAGTTTAGGTATTTTACCCTTAAAAGTTTATTATTATAAGAAACAAACAACTTATTTTGGCACGGACAAAAAAAGAAAACAGGCAATTTAAAATGGGACGGAGGGAGTAGAACTCTCGATGTAGTTTTTAAATATGCTTTTTTTTATTTTTTAATTCCATCCCAATTCTCAAATAAATTGGAAGAAAAATAACTCCAGCCAAATACCATAAACCAACGCAGACGATTTAATTTGGGACACAGGGAGTACTATTCATAAATGATCAAACGTTTCTATTTTTTTTTGGCTTATTTTCGTTACTCATTTGATAATACAGCGTGTTCCCAACGAAGAGCGGAGAAAGGTGCTCGGGGACATTGACAACTTGACAGAAGAGAAAATCGACGAGATCTTGCAGAGTTTCCTGTGTGATCTCAAAGAAGGCAAGCTTGAAGCCAATGGGTGGCAACTGATGCTGCCTGCATATAGCATCTCAAAGGTGACTCTCAATGCCTTCACCAGACTCCTCGCGAAGAAGCACCCAAACATGTGCATCAACTGCGTGCACCCCGGGTACGTTGACACAGACTTTAACTGGCACACTGGGACCCTGACCCCTGAGGAGGGGGCCCGCGGTCCCACAATGCTGGCTCTCCTGCCTTGCGGGGGACCCACTGGCCGATATTTTGACCAAACTGTGATGGCTGAATTTTAACATCTTTTGAACTCTCAGTGATTGTGTCAAACTTGTCATGAAGTGTATGTTTGTATGCCATTCCCCAAATGTACTTTCAGTGTTGGAATGAAATCCATGTTTGTAATGTCATTCTCGAGATATACTTTCACTTTTGGTCTGATTTTTTAAGTACATTACACAAATGGTTTTGTATATTTGAATCATTCTATGAAATTTATTTGCCAATTTTAGGCATTGCCAATTTTAGTTTTAATTCCATCAAATGTCATCAAAATAATACACAACACAGAAATATTTAATTTACTCCATTGTCAATTTTTGTTTCTTCCTCAATTTCATGAAAAAATATTGCTAATTGCCACCAAAATAGTCATATCCATACTTGTAGATTTGTAAGTCTGTTATAAACACTGGTGACAATGCAACACAAGAACAAACTACACAACGAAATCGCCATTCACACGTACACCCGGAACGAGAAAGCAGCAGGAAACAGCAAATAAGCAAGCGAGATAAAGAGTACCCTAAAAAACATGCCCTTCCCTAGGGCAGTACTATGCCTTGACCTTCCAACTCGCCCTACGCTTGTTCTGCCAGCTATTCCGATCCCCGTTGATTTGATTCTTCTTTGCAGCAACAGAGCACTGATCGCCCCTCCGACCACCACCTCTGTTGTTCATGTTGCACTGCAGCTTGCGCCTCATCATCCTGTTCTCTAACCTTAGTCCCCTCAAAGTCCGCACCCTCTCCTCTATCTCCAAAGCTTGTGAGAAGTTCCATATTCTGACCGCACCATCTTCTCCCGCACACACAATCCGGTCCAACCCTATATCCACTGCAAACAAGTTCGGCCCGAACCCATGGAGCATCCTCTGTGGTGGCTCAACACTCTTAGGGTCCGTTTGGAGCCTGGAAAACACTAAGGAAGGAAAATAGAACGAAAATTTAGAAAATAAAGCGATCAAATTCAATAAATCTATTTGTGATATATTGTTGAGATCATCAGTCATCACCATCACCAATCACCATAGCCACCTTAATCCCAGCTAGTTGGGATTAACTTTAGTGCTAAATAATTGCATGAAACTTAGCAGTATATATATTCAAGCAAAAAAGTATAGTGGCAATGCTTTACCAGATAACGGTATATTGACAGTTATTTTTTACTTCCCTGGTATTTTAGGGGGACTCAAACATACCCTTATGGTTCAGATTCTCACCATTAGAAGAGCTCCCGTTCTCTGAACACTTCCTTGTCTTCAACAACTTTCTCACGTCGATGAGTGCAAGTTTCCCATCACTTGAAGCAGAAACAAGCCATGGGAACTCAAACGCGAGGGAATAAACGTGACCCGAGTGAGGATTCCATGTAGCAACCTTCCTCAGATGGAACCTTATATTTTTCACAACCTCAAACATGTGTATGGCCCCATCTTCTCCCCCAGTGAATATAAGCTTTCCAGTGTGGCTTCTTGCCAGCGAGTGGGCATTGCCGACATGAGCATTGTTAGCAACAGAAAGCTTCGTCCCGGTTTTGGTGTCCCATAGATATACATCAGGACCTGATGTGGTTGCCACTGTGGTATCATCATGAGGGGCAAGACTCCAAACCCAATCATTGTGCATCAAAACGATCAAACATTTCAACGAAGAACAGTCCCACACACGCACTGACATGTCCCAAGAACCACTATAAATCTTGTTGAAGACCACTGCAAGGCATGTTACGGGACCTAGGTGTTCCCAAAGCCTAAATTCTCTGTTTTGGTTCTGTGGGCCTTTAAGGTCAAACAAATTAGGATTTCCCTCCTCTGCCCTCCAGCCATAAATGAACCCACGGGTCCCACCAGCTAGCAATAGTTTTGAATCAGCTGTAACGGCACGGACAGTGCAACCAAGAGGACGGGAATACGAAAGAGATAACCCTTCTTCCAAGTCCCACATTCTCACTATCTGATCATACCCCGAAGTGAAAACAAGCTTCTTTGAGGCAAGAACAAAAACTGTTCTAACTTCTTCAGTATGACCGTATAAGGTATCAACCGTGTATCTCCCCAAGAAGGTCTTGCTCCGAAACTCCCTCTGCACAAAGAGATCCTTCCATTTCGTCCTCAAATCTGAACCCTCAGGCCCCAATGCTATTGGGAGGGCTGGATCCCCCCACCTCTCACGGTAAAACTCCTTCCACCCTTGATGCTCAGATGCAATCTGATACAAGGATGCATTCACACAAGACACAATGCCAAGCTCCTTCGGTTCCAAGCAACCAAGGATCTCAGATACCAAAGCCTGAGGAAGATCATTTATTGACCTCCGGCTAGGTAGGGTTTCGGTCCCATTTGGAACTGAAACACAATCTTCGGCATTCGATTTCAATGCAGCTTTTCCAGAATCAGAATCAAGTGTGTAATTTGAAGATCCTGATAAATTATATTTATATTCAGCTCTGCTTGCAACGGATATGTCTGAACGATCAATGATATTCTTCAACAAACCAGTCTCAATAGAGTCTTGGCATTCAAATTCCATAAAATGGCCCCTAAACTTCTTTTTAAAAAATGAAAAAAGAAACAAAATCTTCAACAAGAACAGCTACGAATATAATCGCTCAAGAAAATCGATGAGAAAAGATTATACTCAACCTGCACGAAAATATTCAAGTCAAAACCAAAACTTGACAGGATAACAGAAATCGAAAGTCCGAAAAGTCAAACCCTAGAACAATGAGATCATGAAACCGAGAAGGAAACTTGAAAACGATTGCAGATCGAATACGAATTGTACCTCTGAGCAGAGAG